AACAACAACAACACTTCCTCCTGAACTCACAAACAACAAGAAGGGTTATGCAGACAGCAGCAGCAGTATCAGCAGTTCTGTGTGGATGCGTGTGCCACTACTGATTGTGGTTACACTGGCCTGTATTCTTGTGTGCTGATTGTAATGGTGGTGGTGTGGTGTGACTCAGGTGATCCTTTGTTTTCTTTTCTTCTTTTTTGCATACATCCCTACAGTCTAATTAATCTTCAACCTATTGGGATTATCTTCTTTTTTTTGTTTCTTAATGTGTTTTGTGTGTTTTGTGTGTGTTTTTGCTCTCAGTGTTTATCCTATAATAATTATTGCTGCTACTCCATTGTGTGTGTGTGTGTTCTTGGAGACTCTCTCTGTGTGTGTGCATCTGGGCTTGCACTGTAATGATGATGAACTGTTTTTTGCATTGGGAAAAGATGAAATAATAATAAGAGATGAATTTATATTCATAATTGCGTATATACACACATATATAGACTTACACCCATAGTTGGTGTATATTTCTGTGTTTACTGGGTAAATTGGGCTAATTGAAACTTTTTGTTTCTTTGTTTTGTTTCCATTTTATTTGCTGGGCGTTGTGTGTGTTTTGACCTGCAGCGGTTGTGGTGATCTGTTTTCTGCAGAAAAAAATAAGAATAACTGATACACCTTTTCATTCATAATTGCGTATTAACTCATTGATGCCGAATGATCTGTATTATTTATGTGTTTGGTGTATCCGTTAGTGTTGATCTTAATTTCATTTTTTTCTTGCGTTTGTTTCATCACTGTGTTTGTGTTGAGTGCTTATTGATTTCTTTTTGTGTAAGTTGTTGACGTTGTTTTGTGTAACTAGTACTTATGTTAAGCTCTTCATGATTTTTTCACTCTCAGTCTCTTTAGTATTGGGTGCTTGTTTTTATTATATTTTATTTTTCTTTTTTTTTCTGTAGTTAAGTGACCTAAAACAGGAAAAATAGATCTTGCTGTGTTGACGATGAAACGTATGCTGTTTTTTCTTCTCTTCTTGGTGAGCGGTACTTGTGTGGGTGTTGTAACTGGTGAGGAGCCATCAGCGCATGCTGATCCTGATGGTTGCCTTAATGTTGCTTCTGGTGATGAGTGCTCTAATAGAAAAGCTCTTGGAACAGACAATGATGCTGGGTGTACTGATTCTACTGATACAGATAAATGTGGTACCAATTTGGCTAAAAAAGAAGCCATCAAACCACTCAATGGTCTCACAGCTGATCCAGTACTTATTGATAATGAGAAAGCGGCTGCCGGAAAAGATAAAAGTCTTTTAAAGAACAAAGAAATAACAAAAGAACTGAATCCGGAAAGCCGTCCTGATTCAGTTACAACTTCTCTGGGCGATACAGATGAGCGTCTTAAAGGACCGAAGCATAATCCCAATCTTGGGCAAGCAGGAGGACTTCCAACTCAATTGACATACCGTGTCAGTGACTCTGGACAGGCGCTAGCTTCCAGATCTCAAGACACTCTAGATTCGGAGAATAAGGGAAGTGAAGATGGGCGAGAAATGGATAGACCACCAGAACCAACTGTAAATATTCCTGAAGAAAGCAGTGGTAGACAGGGCCATTTAAAGGAAAAAGAAACTACTTCCGCTTTGTCATTGAACGGTGTATCCAAAGAAACGTCTGAGACATCACACAGAACTGGTACGCAAGAACAGGCAACATCGGCTGTGAGTCCACGAGAGGCACAGCAAAATGATCTCAATGCACCAAATAATAATGCGAATGGAGGAACAACATCTACCCAAGAAGGTACTGTCCATGAATCTTCTTCTTCAACATCTGCAAAACCTCCGGCCAAACCCCTGCCGCAAGAAGAAGAGGGTACGAAAACATCTGATAATGCAAATGCTAAGAATGGCACTTCACCGGAAGGGAGTGAGTCAACAAGTAACCAAGAAGATGATGTGAGAAATACAGAAAACAGCACCACCACAACAACAACAACACTTCCTCCTGAGACTGTAAACAACAAGAAGGGTGATGCAGACAGCAGCAGCAGTATCAGCAGTTCTGTGTGGGTGCGTGTACCACTACTGATTGTGGTTACACTGGCCTGTATTCTTATGTGGTGATTGTAATGGTGGTTGTGGTGTTACTCAGGTCATCCTTTGTTTTCTTTTTCTTTTTTTTTTTGCATACATCCACACTACAGTCTAACTATTCTTCCACCTGTTGGGACTCTCTTCTTTTTTTGTTTCTATTAATGTTAATGTGTGTTTTGTGTGTGTTTTTGCTCTCTGTGTTTATCCTATAATAATTATTATTGCTACTCCATTGTGTGTGTGTGTGTGTTCTTGGAGACTCTCTCTGTGTGCACCTGGGCTTGCACTGTGATAGTGCTAATGATGAACTGCTTTTTGCAGTGAAAAAGGAAAGGAAATAATAATAACAGATGAATTTACATTTATAATTGCGTATATATACACATATAGACGTATACCCATAATTGGTGTATATTTCTGTGTATACTGGGTACGATGGGCTAATGTTTAGTATCTGATTCTTTGTTTGCTTGTGGTTCCCTCTGTTTTTCTTTGCAGAGAAAAGAAAAAGTATTAATTTATATATATGTGTGTTCTTAATTGCATACACTTACCAGCTTATCTAGAGTTCTGTGATATTTTTGTGCGATTGGTGCTTCTCTCAATTTTATTTGTTTCTTTTTCTTTGTGTGGGCGCTGTGTGCTTTCTCCTGCACTGTGCTGTTGGATTGTTTTATGAGGAAGAACAATAATAAGGAATACACAAGTATTCATAATTGCACACGGGTTGACCGGAAGTGAAAATGTTTTGTATTTCTGTGCTTTGTGCTTCTGTTAATCGTGCTCTCAATGCTTTTTCGGTTTTGAGGGGTTAATTGGTATTATCTTTTTTCCGTGCTGGGCATTGTGTTCTTTGTTGGGCTCTTTAATCTTAATGAGCGTTGTCTTGTCTTGTGATTTTCCAAAGATTTGTTGTTTTCCTTTTTTCCGTTTTTCCTTCTGTTCTTGTATGTATCTATTTTATTCTCTATTTAGTTCTCTTTTTTTTTCTGTGAGTTTTGGTTACGTTGAACTATACAAGTAACTTTACCCCACGATGTTGCTGCGACGACTGTTGTTTTTTATGGCACTGTTTTTGAGTGTTGCCTGCGTGTGTGTGGCGGCTTCTGAAGAGGAAGATGATCTATCTACTGTTGATGGTGATTGTAGTGCTTCAGGCAAGAAGAGTACAAAATGTGAAAAGAATACTGGCGTACCTGAAGCTGCTCGTACTGCTTGTCCGGATCCTCCTGGCAATGAGAAATGCCCTGCCGAGGATGGTGGGAGTAAAGCCGATTGCCTGAAAGGTTCTGACACTTGTCCAAAGGAACCAGCTCCAACTTCACCAAAGGAACCTGCNNNATGCCACATACTTAACGGCAGTAGCCAAAGAGTTCGTCACGAAAATTAATCAGTTGGTCGCAAAAGCGGAGACTGACCCATCGGTATTGGAGACTGAGAAGAAGGAAGGTGTTAAACTTCTCGAGAACTTAAAGTGGGCCGCTGCCTTTGCACGAGATTCCGCGGTTGTAACTAAAGAAACAAGAATGCAAACTGTTGAAAACGGAGAGACCGCTCGTAATACATTATATGATTTTAAGGGAGTACATGAGAAACTTAAAAACACCTATGACAAGAAAAACCTACCAGATCAACAAGTTGAAGGCAAGAAAAAAAAACTCACGGAGCTTCACGAAAAGGTAGAGGCTGCATTTCCTTATACCAGTGACGAGAGTCTGCGGAATTTCCTCTTCGATAACATCGATGTCGCAGAGGATGCACACAGGGCGGCACTAAACGCTGAAACTATTCTGAAGCGTGCGCAAGAAGCTGATAACTTTTTGCAGAAGGCCTTGAAAAAACTCGAGGACGCACTTAATGCTGCTAAGGAGAAGAGTAAAGAAAGACCACCACAACAAAATCAAGGATCATCAAACAACACAGGGGATCAGAGTGCCCCCAGCGATCCTAATTCTAACCAGCAAGTATCTCCTGCAAATACGACTGCCGCACCAGACTCACAAGAAATCAATTCCACTACTCCGCCGAGCACCGAGAACACTACCAGTGAAGCACCAACCACCACTCCATCTCCTGTTCCTGTACCCAACGAAGAGATCAGCACCATCATCGCTTCCACAGTACAGACGAACAAGGCTAATGTTGACAGCAGTGTCAGTCCTGTGTGGATGCGCACTGCTGCACCGCTACTGATTGTGGCTGTGTTGTTCTCCGTTACCGTGTACTGAACGGTGAGACTAATTTGAGGACAAATAATAATAATAATAATAATAATGGTTAAACTAACATAATCATAATTGCGTACATCCCCCCATGGGTGAATAAACTAATAAGTTTACCAGCTTTCTCTTTCAATTCGAGTTTTTTTTTCTTTTACCTATATGTCTGTGTGTGTTCTTTTTCTAATAATTCCATTACTTGCTTTTCCCGTTGTGTGTGTTTGCAGAAAACTGGGCTGTTCTGCTCACTGACGGTATACNGAAGAGCGAGACCAAACCACCCAAGAAGCGTAAAGCAGACAGCAGCAGTATCAGTTCTGTGTGGATGCGCACTGCAGCACCGCTACTGATTGTGGTTGTGTTGGTCTCCGCTACTGTGTACTGAACGGTGGGTCTCATCTGAGGACAAATAATAATAATGGTTACACTAACATTATCATATTTGCTTATATCCCCTATGGGTGAAATAAATTAATAATCTGTTTATCAGCTTTCTCTTTTAATTATGAATTTCTTTTCTTTTACTTTTATGTGTGTTTGTTCTTTTTCTAACAATTCCATTACTTGCTTTTCCTGTTGTGTGTGCAGAAAACTGGGCTGTTCTGCTCACTGATGGTATACTTTTATTCTAAANTTCTAACCAGCAAGTATCTCCTGCAAATACGACTGCCGCACCAGACTCACAAGAAATCAATTCCACTACTCCGCCGAGCACCGAGAACACTACCAGTGAAGCACCAACCACCACTCCATCTCCTGTTCCTGTACCCAACGAAGAGATCAGCACCATCATCGCTTCCACAGTACAGAAGAACAAGGATAATGTTGACAGCAGTGTCAGTCCTGTGTGGATGCGCACTGCAGCACCGATGCTGATTGTGGCTGTGATGTTCTCCTTTACTGTGTACTGAACGGTGGGACTCACTTGAGGACAAATAATAATAATAATGGTAATCCTAACATAATCATATTTGCGTACATACCACATGGGTGAATGAATTAATAATCTGTTTATCAGCTTTCTCTTTTAATTATGAATTTCTTTTCTTTTACTTTTATGTGTGTGTGTGTGTTCTTTTTCTAATAATTCCATTACTTGCTTTTCCTGTTGTGTGTGCAGAAAACTGGGCTGTTCTGCTCACTGATGGTATACTTTTATTCTAAATATAGACATGCGTATGTGTGCACCAGAATGTTATTAACGAGAGCCATGGGGTATTGTGTGTGTGT